GGGGGCTAATAATTTGATCTGAATCTCTGAGTTCTTCTACAGGAACCAGGGCCCCCCACCCAGGTGGAGGAGGTAACTTCAGGCTGAGCAAAAGCACGTGGACCCCAAACCAGCCGGAACCAGATGGCTAATGACTGAGATCCCTGAACACCACCCGGTTCCCCCTGCAACAACCGATCAGAGGAAGCCCTCAGCCCAAATTGTGCCCATACCAACTCTTCCCCAAAAACCATGGCGGAGTTCGGGTCCTTGAGCGCCAGCTGTCCCATTCTTCTTGCCGGGCCCTGCAGTCCCCATTTCTCCCCTCCAGACAACCACGATTTGGTTTGGCCTCACCGCGCGCTGCGCATCGGCTTCGACAAAAATTTCAGCTGCCAATCCGCACCCCCCGGGTCATCAACCAGAGTCCTCACACAGTGAATGCCAGAAAATTCCATCTGGCGCTGCAAGGAGACCCATTGCCTTAAGGCGAATCACCTGCGTTCACGTCCCCGTCTCCAAATATTCACATCTACTCAGATTGACACTTAACACTAGCCAGGCCATTCCTGAAAGGAAAATACACTACGACAATTAGCTACTTTTCCAAAACAAACCTATGGTTGAAATCATTCTAACCGAACAAGAGCCCCAAGCGCTAGGGGAGAGAAAAACCCACAAGTCTGAATATTCAAACAAGTGGTTGAAACCCTTGCAACCCCAGAAAAGAAGTCCCCAACCAGGATCACACTCTCATTGGAAAGAAAAAGAAACTCCACTCTTTCAGATCAATGTGCAAGTTTCCAGAAACTCAAGAGTGGGCGTTGGAGCATCACAGAGGCCTGGTGCGTCCCCTCTCCCCTCCCACAGGGCCCTGAGGGTCCTGACGTCTGCCCTCCGCTAGCTCCAGGCCTGGGACCCAGGAGGCCCAAGCGCTGAATCCTTGGCTCCAATCCCCCCAGGGCTGGAGGGGGGAGGAAGGGCAAGAAGACACCTTTCAGGGGTTTCAGGGGTTACAGGGTAAGCAGGTTCCCAGCAGAAATATGTCTTCCCTGCGACGGTCTTAATCCCCAGAGCTAAAAGAGGACTTCCTTTCCTTCCCACAGCACCCAGCTCAGCTCAGTCCAGCCCAGCCGACCCCTCGATGCCCTGGGCTCGCTCAGGCTCACAGGCTCTTACCCCAGTCCCGCTCAGTCAGCTGGTCCAAGGACAGCCATTCTCCCCGACACAGGCAGGGGGGAGGCTTGGCGGCATCCAGGGCGGCATCCAGGGCGAGGGAGCTGTGCTTCGCAAGGGCCTGCGTGTCCCTAGAGAGCTGCAGACTCACCGACCATGCCCGAATCCTCCGAGCAGCTCGCCACCTCAACCTTCCTCAGCTCCACTACCTCCCTCCAGGTGTCCCCAGGTTTCCCCTCGCCCAAATCTGCCCCGGGGGCAGTCAGCTGGATGCTCCCAGCCTGAAGTTCACCAGAAGGTATCAGATAACACAGCAGAAGCGGCCAGCATTACCCACGCTCCCCAACCAGCCACGAGCTCCAGGACCGGTGACTTTTACAACCACCCCCTGTTTGCAGATGACGGAACAGAGGCTCAGAGAGTTAAAGTAACAGGCACCAAGTCACAGATCTGACAGGCAGTGGTGCCATGATGGGGACCCAACTAACCACACAGCTCTCCCTTGTAACCTCTGGATGGGCCACGTACCTTCCAGCCACTCTCCACCATCTATTCTCTCACTGCCTCCGCCTCATTGGAGGAAAGGATGACCTCTTAATAAGCCCAACTCACCATCATCAGGTGCTGTGTGCTGGGGGAGGGGGGCAGGGAGGACCAGCTACGTCCACCCCCAGCTGTACCCACCTCATCAGCATCTCTCTCAGGCTCTCTCAGGCAAGCCAGACCGCACTTTGCAGACATGAATATTGAGGCTTACGCTGCAAGCCAGGCTGCACTGTCACCCAAGTCAGGCCAACGAGTCCACTGACTTGTTTGGTGTACATCCGGCCTCATTCCTGGCAACACCAGCGTGCAGAGCTCAGGAATCTGCATTTCACTCCCCAGATGACTCTGATGCCACTTAGGAACCCCTGGACCTCCCCCCTTCCCCAGAGTGGCAGTTTTGGGAAAGGGGTTTTAGACTCCCCTCAGGGGCTGTTAAAAAGATGTGCCACCAGCCCCAACAAAGATTAAAACCAAAGATGGGCTTCCCTGGTGGCGCAGTGGTTAAGAATCCACCTGCCAATGCAGGGGACACGGGTTCGAGCCCTGGTCCGGGAAGATCCCACATGCCACGGAGCAACTAGGCCCGTGAGCCACAACTACTGAGGCTGCGCTCTAGGGCCCGCGAGCCACAGCTACTGAAGCCCATGCGCCTAGAGCCCGTGCTCCGCAACAAGAGAAGCCACCGCAATGAGAAGCCCACGCACCACAACGAAGACCCAATGCGGCCAAAAATAAATAATAAAAATAACTTTATTAAAAATAAAAAAATTAAACCAAAGAAATAAATCGAAACAATCTGAAAACTGCTCAGGCGTAAAGAGTAAGGTGGGGAGATGGAGACAGTGATGAACTTCCCAACTGTATAGGCTGGGGTAAAGCACGCACTGCCTTCTCTACGGAGCAACCACATGCTTCAAAGGATTGAACATTCCCAGAGATTCATGCAGCAAGCTAGTTGCAAAAGGAGGGGAGAGAGAGAAAAAGAGAAAAAGACAAACGCAGACAAGGGAGGGAAATAGAGAAAGAGAAATCCTGGGGAAGCCTTTTACATATCACAGTGACAGGAATAAAAAGACCCTTCACACACACACACACATACACACACACACACACACGCTCATACACACAAACTCACAGATGATGAATAGGATTTAGCCCAGCACTCTCCAAAAGAAAAACAATGCAAGCCACATATATAATCTTAAATGTTCTAGTAACCACATTAAAAAGAAACAAGTGAGGGAATTCTCTGGCGGTCCAGTGGTTAAGACTCTGCGCTTCCACTGCAGGGGGCGGGGGTTGGATCCCTGGTCGGGGAACTAAGATCCTGCATGCTGCGCAGCACAGCCCCACGCCACCCCACCCCACCCCCCGGCCCAAAATAAAACAAAGAAACAGGTGGAATTAATTTCAATACTGTAGTTTAACCCAATATATCCAAAATATTATTGTAAAACATGTAATCGGCATTTCAATACCATTAACAAAGTCTTTTATGTTCTTTTCTTCACACTAAGTCTCCAAATGTCAGTGTGTATTGACAGCATATCTCAATTCAGATTAGCTGCATTTCAAGTGCTCAAAAGCCACACGTGGCCACTAGCTGCCATGCTTAGCAGTCCAGATTTAGACAGAGATGGGCAGGTAAAGAGGAAGAGAAGGGGTGGAAATAAAGCCTTGAACAAAGAACTAAGGGAGTATGACATCCAGGATCATCTATGACCCACAGAGAGTGTTCATAAGGGGTCAGATGTAATCAGCCTTCAGACTCAACAGTGAGTACGTCAGCACAATCTGCTAACCGAGAGAGAGCTGGGGTCACCATTTTGGTGCCCAAAGTACCAAGCCCACAACTGAAGAATCAAAGTCCACTACCACTCAGTAACATGGCACCCAGTTGCACATCACACACATGTGCTAGACCCAAGCTACAGTCTGAACCCCCAGCAGCCACTCACGTGAAGCTCAGGCCTCCAAGGGAAAATGGCTGAGAACTGCCCTCTCTCTGCCCCGGGGGCATAAGCTCCACCCAAGGAAATCAAACAACAGGTTCCTCCCACCTACAGGCTGTAAAGGGGAAGGGGAACACAGGCAGGTGAAAAAAGGAGACGGAAGATACCTTAGCACTTGCGGTGGGCAAAATAATGGCCTCCACAGACGTCCTTGTCCCAACTCCCAGAACCTGGGCATGTTGCTTTACGTGGCAAAAGGGCCTTTGCTGATCTGATTAAGTTAAGAATCTTCAGCTGGGAAGATTATCCTGGATTATCCAGGTGGGCCCATGGTAATCAGAAGGGTTCTGATAAACGAGCGGCAGGAATGTCAGTCAGAGAAACATGGAATCCCAGAAGCAGAAATCACAGTGATGTGATCACTTGCTTTGAAGATGGAGAGGGGGGAGCCGTAAGCCACGGAACACATGGCCGCCTCTAGAAACTGGGAAAGTCCAGGAAACACAGTCTCCCCTACAGCATCCAGAAGTAATGCAATCCTGCTGACATCTTGATTTTAGCCCAATGAGACGTCTGTTGGACTTCCGATCTCCAGAACTTTACCAAATCTGTGTTAAGCCACCAATTTTGTATCAACTTGTTACAGAAGCAATAGGAAACTAACATACCATTTGTAGAGTGGTCAGCTAGACACACACATGAGTTACCATGACGCTGCAAGTTATCGGCAGTAGTAACTGTAGTTGTCTTAGTAGTAATGGTAACGGCCGCCATGTACTGAGGGCTTACTAAATCTCAAGCACCCTAACTATTTCGCCAACATTTTTAAAAATACACTTTTCATTTTGGAATAACTTTCAATTTACTGGAAAGTGGCAAAGATAGTACAGAGTCCCTGTATCTGTTCACCCAGCTTCCTGAATGCTAACCTCTTACACAACCATGATACATTTGTCAAAACCAGGAAATTAACATCAGCACAACACCATTAACGAAACTACAGACTTTATTTGGAATCCACCAGTTGTCACAAATGTTTTATCTTCCCAAGAGCCCTACGAGGTGAGTACCATTCTAATCACCATATGATAACGGGGTAGCCGAGTCTTAATAAGATCCATTCACTTGCTGGGGGGGTCACAACAGTGAACACCAGCAAGGCTTTTCAACTTGATGCCTCTGTTTGGCCTTTCAACTTGACCCCTACACCATAAGCTCCCCTGGATATCATCAACCCTGTCTTATAGGACAGGAAAATCCAAGGAGAAGCAAGTTACCCAAAGGCATGCTACCGGAAGCAACAGCAAACCTGGGGGCGCCTGACTCCAGAGATCACGGTCCAGCAACAGGCTCCCTCCCTGTCACAGAGGGACAGGAGCCTCCAGGGGCCATGAAAAGCTCCTGAGATCCATGAAAATATCGTGGTGGCTGTGATGGGAAAGAGGGGACCAGGCCTCTGGACGATGCCTACCTGCCTAGGACCACTAGGTAAACCTCAGAGCTTCCTGTGGCTCTCAGTCAGCAAGGGGGCCCACTAAAGAGGGCTTTACCAGGAGCTTTCCTATAGAGGAACGGGCAGCAGAAGCAGCTGCCATCAACGACTGTCCTGAATCCAGCTTCCATCAAACCACCGGGATCCCCGCTCTGGGGCCTTCACAACATGATTACAATGAGCTCCTTGAAAACATTCCCCTCCTGCGGGATCCTGTACCTCCAACCTTTGTAGCCCCTAGATTCTACCAATTCAGCAGCAAAAGAAGCAGGCAGAAGAGATTCTCCCACGGTATAGTCGTTAACGACCTCACCCACAACTACACACAGCAAGTGGGACAGGAACCAGGACAGACTCGCCTGGATGCCCCACAGCAAGCCACCCTGTTCACTTTTCTCCCAGCCTTTATTTCCTTGGTGGCATTCCATGACCCAGCAGGTCTCTGAGCACTGTGATGGTTGGTTGCTTTGCTATCTGTACACCTCTCTCAGTGGTTCTCAAAGTGGGGTCCCCAAACCAGCAACCTCACCTGGGAGCTTGTAAGAGATGCAAATTCCCAGGCCCCAGCCCCCAGCCCAGGCCTACAGAATCAAATTCTGGGGACGGGCCAACAATCATGTTAACAAGTCCTCCAGGTGTTCCTGATGCCCGCTACAGTTTGAGAACCATTAAACTCTGTATCCCCTGTACCTCCTCCATGGCTGACTTATGACCCAGAAATGTGTTCGGAAAGGCCTCTGTCTGCAGAGATAAACACAAGGTCGTACATACGCCGACTGTGGGCCCAGGGCAAGAGCTCACAAACCCTGCTGGGTTAGCAGTATTCATTCATCACAGTCAGGGAGCAGCACAGGCCAGTGCAGGGCAGGCCTGTGCCACATGCTGGGGGCCCATCCTTGGCTTCGTGGCACTTAAAGGAAGGAGAGCTTGAAGATACCAATCGAGCAAACCTACAGATGAACGGAAAATCACAAACTGTGGCAAAGACTATGAAAGAAAAAAAAAATGGGGGTGCCACAGCACAGAATGACAGGGATCTCCTTCCACCTCAGTGGTTGAGGGAGGGGTCCCTGAGGATGGGACACTTAGACCAAGATACAGAGGAAGAGCAGGAGTCGTCCAGGCAAAGAGGCAAACATTCGCAGTAGAGGAAAAGCTTGTGCCAAGGCCCTGGGGCAGGAGACAGTGTGGTGCTTTGGAGATACTGAAAGAAGCCAGGGTGGGTAGAAAATAGGAGGAGGCAGGAGGAGTCCTTGGGAGAGAAGAGAAGTTGCCCAGCCTTGGATCGTGC